ATGTGTGAATTTTGAAAAAGTTTTTTTCATTTTCTCTGATCGCACAACATTTTTAGACAAAGGCTCTGGTGTGCATTTTCTGCCCTGTATCTTTTATTTCTACTGTGCATAATTTGTGCAACATAACTATTTTAAACTGTATCGTTTTGAAAAGCCTAGCTTGCTGCATAAGTTCATACGACGCCTCAAACTACGTGTACTTCTGTGATCACGAAGGTTTTTTGTGCCCAGTTTTGAGTCTCTATACCCCTTTGTTACGGCACACGTACCTCAGGATCGGTGAAAGTGTTGCATACAGAATTTTTGGGCAAATTTACTGAATAATACAGGGTCACTTTAGAGCATAAAACAACATCAAAATGATAAATTCAATTTTCACTTTTTAAAAACCCTAATTGGACCTAGTTATTGAGAATGGCCGTAAGTCCACGTGGCAATGACACCATCACTGGGTCTGTGCATCAATGATAATAACATTGAAATCAAAATAAAATCATTTATTACTTAAATTAATTAAATACCCCATACAACTCTAATAGTTCACTGTTAAGTGATTCATTTTGATAATTCATCATGCACTTTCTTCAAATGAATCTCTAAGGAGCTTCTCAGCAAAAATTGTTTTTCACATAAATGGCAAAGGAAGAGGTGAAGTGCCTCGTGCTCAGAGCAGTCTTTTTGGTCTCTGAACTTTTTACGACAATGCTGGCACTTGTACAGAAACGGGTCGGTGTGTACTCTTTTTTCGTGAAATTGCCGCCCCTTAGTCTCTGGGAATCTTTTCTCACAAAACCGACGCTTGAACGGCTTCTCTCCTGTGTGTGTTCTCTCATGCCTCCGGTGGGTGCTCTGACGTCTGAAAGTTTTCTCACAAAATTGACAAGAATACGGTTTTTCTCCCGTGTGAATCATCTCATGATGGACCCTCGATTCTTTCCTTGCGAACCCTGTGGAACAAAACTTGCAACGGTGAGGTTTCTCCACCTGGTGCGGACGCCTGCGCTTGTGTTTTTGCAAATTTATCAAGCTGACAAAGCCCTTATTACAACAGTCACAGTGATACGGCATCTCTGCCGAGTGCTCCGATACTTCATGTTCCACGCATTGTCCTCTTTGAAGAAACATTTCACCACAGTACTGACACATATTGGGTGTGTTGTCACTATGCCTACTAACATGGAGATCCCGAAGTTCTTTGTACGGAAATACTTCATTGCAGTACTTACATATGTACACAGTTCGCATCTCTTTTAAATGTGTCAATCTATGTTTAGAGAAAACATCTTCAGATGTAAAGTTAGCACAACAGATATCACAGATGTAGATGGTCTCCTCTTTCTTCTTGACATTTCTCTCCTCGCTGATCACATCGCTACCACCTTCAGAATCACCCACGGCCATGCCGTCATTTCTCTCGTTATCAGACACGCAGGGTTCATTGATCACCTCGACCTCCGAGACTTCATCTATGTTCGGTTTACACGTTCTTCCTGGGTTGTTATAGTAGCTTAAATAGTCGTGATCTAGGAAAAGGCCAGGCTCCATTTTCTGATCAGGTGGCTCATCACTATCTGAGGATGTTCCGTCCATTCTCTTGCATAGTGTTGTAAGCGGTTTGTAATTGTTAAAACTTGAAAAGAAAAGGTATAGTAAGCAAAGTGAACAAAGATGAGCAAATTTAAGGCACAATCTCATCTAAAAATATTATTTTTATCTGAACACAAGTTACTGCCACCTCCCGTGACTTTTAAAATCCAATCCATGTGATGTAATTGTGGAAATAAGAAAATGAAGAAACTGCCTACATCATCTAATTTCATCTCTGAAACTCATGCTAACAGTATGATCAACTACTTACACATCCATGAGAAGTTTGGCCAACTTTTCATTGGAATTTTGTTGAAGTTCAACTTTGAGGCTATTCCATCTCCCGAGTTCGTCACCAATATTGATCCAGTTTGGGGGCACTGGGACTATCAACGGAGAATCTTTTCCCGTCGACATTGTGGCTAGAAGAATGTTATTTGCACCAGTGTTTGGAAATTTGACCTTCCTTATGGTTTTTATTCGCAACTGCATGAAGCATCTGTAATAAAAAAATATGGTAAACTGCTTGTGTCTTGGGGGGGGGGGGGGGTAATCATGTCAGAATATGTTGATGACGACGTGAACCAATATGGAGTTGATCCTTCATTTTCCACCTTACCCAAGTTACTATTACTTCGCACCGACAAAAAAGATCCCTATAGTCAACTATTACCTGGTATGTGTATGAGAAGCACTTACCTGAAAACTTAGCCCTAGCAACTCAACCTAACATTACCCGTGTTGAACTCTGATGGCGGCTAGCGTTAAAGTGGGAATCAACTAACAACCGAAACTGCGCGATTCAAGAAGAAATCTCACCTAGCACATTTGTCAACGTAGCCATTCCATAGAACACGAATGCCCAAAAGTGTGCTTTATACTAAGTGTGCTTTACACAAACACGCGCATACATAAATGGTAACGAGGATTGAGAAAGCATCTGGAGTCTGCTTTTGATTTCATATCCATAAACGAAATGCATATAAAACTATATATACGTTCAATGCAGACAACCTATCGCGACATACGGCTTTTGCAATTGTAAACTGTAGGCCTACACTCTAGCTATTAAAAAACAAGACTACTGGTACGCGTTAGATCGATAACTGATTTAATTCTCGTAAGATTACCATCCGCCCCCTTCCTTATGAATATGTATTACTTTATCAATACACTGCAACCGACGTGTAGCCGCAAGTTAAAAGACAATGTGTGATTACGCACAGCAGTAGGAGGCCGCTACCCTTTCCCAGCAAGGAGTCAACAAAGCCGCATGTTAGAAGACAATGTGTGTTTACTCACAGCAGTAGGAGGCCGCTACTCCTTCCCAGCAAGACACAAACACTGATGCGCGTGACCCTCGCCTCATTAGGGGTGAGAGGCTGTCCTTTCATGATTGGTATTGTTCATTAGCACACTTCTTAATCAGTATTCGCACGCACGCACGCCTCTTACTTGGTTGCTTTCAAAAGTTGCCTCAATCGGCCAAGAATGTGATCACATTTATCTGCCGACATACTAAGCCTTTGGCGTATTGTTAGGAAATTAGGATCTTCAAAAAACTGACCAATATCTATGATTTCTTTTTCGTTTTGCTGTACGAAAATTAAAATTCATTGATATCTTTTATACATGCACGTCGCGTCTAGTTTTGCGTTAACGGGTCTTACAATTGTTCCTATATATGCAACCGTATCAGACTCATTGCATCGGAGAAGTTTTGTCAATATTTAAAAAAAATTCAAATATTTGTATCCCATAAAGCATTTATTGACCGTGTCGTTCCATGGGGTGATACTTTACCAGCACATGTAGGCTATTTCTGTAATAATTAATGCATCGCTGCCCCTAGTATGTAACACACGAAAACATGAGCCCTATCGATGCGTGTTATCGACGATNCGGTTCATATACAAAATGTCAATCAGGGCACGGAAGATTGATCTAAAAGACTTCTCTGTAAGACTGATAAAACTACCTCATCATTTGACACAGGAATAACGTATTATATGTTTTCATATTTGGGGGCATCCCCACGCTTTTCTCTTCGATTTATTTTGAAAATTCCCAAACAAAGCGGTACTTACTTTTAAACAATAACTGTCACTTGTTAAATATGCGAACTCCACTGCTTAAACTGCTCTTACTTGTAATTTATAATGGCCGAAATTATCTTACTTCAAAAAATTATTATTATTATTATTATTATAAGCACAACAAAAAGAAAATACAATTGTAGTGCTTTCTCTGATAAGTGCCGTTATTCCGCCTCACTCCAATGGTTTAGGAATTTATTCCGACATTCAGTTCTTTTTTGTCTATTTCTGTGTGTTGCTTACAATGTATTTATTGTAGACTTTTAAATCTAACATGAAAAGTTGTTATTCCTTTAAATATACCGGCATTGAAAAACCCACTGTGGTGTGCTTCATTTCAATAATTTATGGTGTGTTTCTTTCATATGTAGCTCTACGCATCTTTCCCTTAATAAAAACCCTCCTTGCACAAACTGCAAGAGTGGAAATCTCTTTCAGTTGTGTGACAACACCTCATGGTTGCGGAGGTCTTTTTTGGATTTGAAACCCTCGGGACAGTGCGGGCACTGGTGCTTGGGCTTCTTCTTGTGCATGGCCTTTTCATGTTTCAGACGCGAAACGTGCCGTTTGAAGGCTTTCTCACAAAATCGGCACTGGTGCGGTCTCTCTCCCGTGTGAGATCGCACGTGGAACAGGACGGAGTCTTTCCTGCTGAAGGTTTTACCGCAGATGCGACACGTGTATGGTTTTTCTCCAGTGTGTCTCCTCTCGTGCATCTCAAGCTCTGCTTTGACTGAGAATCTTCTGGAACAAAACTGGCAGAGGTGTGGTTTCTTCACCTTGTTCTGAAGCATCTTCTTGTGGTACCTTGCCCCACTTTCGGACAAAAACCCCTTATTGCAACATTTACAGTAATAAGGTTTTTCAGCCGAGTGCACTAATACTTCGTGTTTCACACATTCTGCTCTTTGACGATACATTCTACCACAGTACTGACACATATTGGGGGTGTAAGCACTATGGGTTCTTTCATGGGCGTCCCGAATTCTTTTGTATGGGAATGTCTCGTCGCAGTACCTACATGAACTCATGTCTTTTAAATGGGTTAATTGATGTTTAGAGAAAACATCTTCAGATGTGAAGTTAGCACAACAAATCTCACAGATGTAGATGGTTGCCTCTTCATTCTTGACAATACTCTGCTCGCTTTTCACATCACTTTCGCCCTCTGATTCACTCCCCACTTTGCTGTCATTACTATCGCTATCAGTCATGCAGGGTTCATTTTTTATCACATCGACCTCAGAGACTTCACCCATATTTGGTTTACCCATTTCTCCTTGGTTGGGAAGGTTATTCAAATAGTCATGATCCAAAGAAATGTCAGTTTCCCTATTATCAGTGTGATCAGGTGCGTCTTTGGCAACCACACCTTGCAGAGCAGATCTGAGCTGCCCTCTTACGTCAGAACGATCTGCATTCCTTAAGTTTTTATTCAGCTGAGACCGCCCTCCGGCAGAAGATATGCGCTGTTTATCTGCCTCTTTATTTGACTCGATTTGTTTGCGTTTGCTAAGAGACACGAGCTGCTTGCTCGTGCCAACTGAATTTAGAGTAATGGGCTTTAAATAGTATGCCTTGTGCTGCCACCTGGTGTCAAGGGTATTAAGACTGCTAGAAAGGTCATGATCTGCTTCATGTGGCCCTTTGGTGGAGATCCTGGAAACAAAACCACAGATAAAATTACCCTAAGCTACATTTCTAAGAGAACTGCTGAGCAAAAAACCGTGACCATAAATGCTGTTTCTACTAAACAAAAATTGTTAGTGATCAAAAAATATTTAGTTGCTGAGTTTGATTTTTTCAATCTGCTGATAGGAGTCTATGGCTTCGTTCACATGGAAAGTCTATTTTTTAAAAATCTTTTTTCTATTCGCGGTATATCTTGTGATCACGGTCTGTGCTCTGAAAATCCCGCGGCGTAATTACTGGCAGCGCGAGCCAGTTACTTCCAAAGCTGTAATTAATTCTCGGCGCTGCCACTAATTATGCCACGGGGTATTCAGAGCACAAACCGTGATTACAAGATACCGCAAATAGAAAATAGATTTTTAGAAAATAGACTTTCCATGTGAACGGTCCCTGTGTGATTTGGTATCTCTAGGAAGCTTACAAGGCTTTATGGCTGCATTCAGAACAGTGGGCTAACTACTCCAAGGGTCAAAAAAGCTTGGGTTCTAGCCATCAAATCCACTAATAGGCACTGAATAGATTCCATGTGTGGAGGTATTCAAGTGGGTTGGCCATAGTTGACCCTCAGACTAGTTAGTCCACTCTGAATGCACCCTAAGATCGCATTCACAACGAGTTGAGCCAGGTTTTACAAATCCTGGGGACTAAATATGGCGGACATACATGAAAGAAAAACTGCCTAATCTTTTAATAGTCTCTCCGCCTCTCACACGCCTCCCCATGTCGTCCCAATGGAGCCGAAATTTAATGACTGTCCCCCCACAGGGACGATGTGTGGGGAGGCGTGTGAGAGGCGGAGAGACTATTAAAAGATTAGGCGGTTTTTCTTTCATGTACGACCGCCATGTTTAGTCCCCAGGATTTGTAAAGCCTGGCTCAACTCGTTGTGAATGCAATCTAAGTGACTTCTTTTGGACTTTACAGGGATCCATTAGAATTTTACTGGACATCCTATAGAAATGCATATGTCCTGTAAGACACTATAGAATTTTGGATAATTTCAGTGAGAGTACATTAATAAATGTTAAATTATTCCAACCCCCTTCTAAAAAAAATTTTTTTTTAGACAGAACTTAATTATCACTTACTCAAGGTCATCATCATCATCATCATCCACATCTCCCTCATCACTATCTGAGGATGTTCCTTCCATTTTCTTGCATAGTGTTGTAAGTGGTTTGTAATTGTTATACCTTTAAAGAAAAGAGATACTAAATGTATAAAGATCAACAAAAATAAGTCACAATTTCATCTATAAAAACAACTTTTTATATCTGAACACAACTTATTGAGCATTTAAATGCACAGGTGGTATAAATTGTTCCTTCAGAAGACTCATACTAGTAAGTCTGTTCACATTGGCATCTACTGGTATCACCTTTTAATCCTGTTAATTTTCTATTTTTATAGGTTTCTTATATCCCACAAATCCAACATTACTCAACTAAATGCTGTTTATTTTACTTTAATAGTGTATCCGACAAATTAAATGTAACACATTAATGTATTGGTACAAGTTAACTCTTACATGAATATTGACTTATGACTATCCCCCCCCCCTTTTTTTACCCATAAAATAGCATGTAATGCAAAGAAAACATAAAATATAGAACTCTGCTTGCTGAAAAATAGGAAAAATAACCCTCTGCTTTTCTTGACCTTTCCACTCAAACCTGTGTGTTTGTGGAAATAAGAAAATCCGGAAAATGGCTTACATTCTAACTGAAACTCATGCTAACAGATGGATGAACTACTTACACATCCATGAGAAGTTTGGCCAACTTCTCATTGGAGTCTTGCTGGAGTTCAAATTTGAGGCTATTCCATCTTTCTAGTTCTTTGCCAATGTTGATCCAGTTTGGAGGTATTGGTATTATCAGCTGAGAGGCTTGACCCGTTGCCATTATGGCTTGAAAGATGTTATTGCACTGGTGTTCAAATTCCTTTCCACCATCCGGTTTTAATATTCAACTTCATTAAGCACCTGTAATAAAAAATTGATAAATTGTGACTCTTTTAAAAATTATGTGTTATTTTATCATATTGTTTACTTTGTATTTGTGTGTGTTTGTGTTTGGAAGGGGAGATAAGAACATGATAATGGCATGAAACCACATGAAATGGCTACTTCATATATATTGTAACTGGACCAAGTTACCATAACTTCCACTACTGCGCCTGATTTGGTCTTAAAGTGTAATTTCAGATCACAAACAATATTACCCTATCTTAAACCATGAGTAAGACCATTACTAGACTCACTTGTTATGCAATTGTCTCCCTTCACACGTTCTCCTATTGTGAGCAAAGGTGTCCTCCATTGTTAGGGGAGGAAATTGCTTGACCACTTACATAGATATTAGATCTTTTTTTTTAACTATTTCAGTCCATTTAAAGACTACTGCTGTAATGATTAAGGCTCATAGTAAGACCAGGTAAGATCATTTGTGATGTAAAATTACTCTTTAAGACCAAATCAAGTGCACTAGTGTTTGCGCGTGTGTGTGTCATTACTACTTTATCTAGTTTCAACCACCGGAGACCCATTGCTGTACCCTCTCCCCCATCGCCACACACTCACAAACATACAAATACCTTGATCCACCAGCAGCAACAGACGAAATTGACAAGAAAGAAAGAAATGATACAATCCAAACCTTTAAATAATAAGAAAAAAATTGAAATGATACTCAAGCATTGTCTCAAGCGTGTAAATACACGACAGTCTACATGTGAGTTACAAAAGTTCAAAACCAAAATAAACTTTCCAGAGGTATAATGCGGAGCTTGGAAAGAAAGGCTCAGGTTGCTCCTTTCATTTTGTTCTAGAATACGTATATTCAAACAGTATCTTCCGTAAGTTTAAACTTCTTATAAATGAGTAGCACTTACTTAGTACTTAGCCCTAACAACTCAACCTAACACTGTCTAAGTGAGCTCTAATGGCTGATAGCGGTAAAGTGGGAATCAACTAACAACCGAAACTGCGGGACTCGAAAAGAAATCTCACCTAGCACATTTGTTTAGCACCTACATGAAAGACATTTGTATTTGGACCAAAGTTAGTTTATCATAAAATGTCTTTATTTATTTATTTATTTATTTATTTATTTATTTATTTGAATAATATTTATTTAATGAATAGCATTTGACTAACTTCACCTTAAGCTGCTACTATATTATCGGTAAAAGTTGAATTCAAAGAATAATGATATTTTGGTATAGGCCTACCGACACTTCAGTGAGGTTAAAATTGCATCTTAGCACAGCGACCGTACCTACCTGTTATTGACGTGATGCCCAGCATAGTCCATTAATTAGTACTCCAGATGTGATTGGTCGATACATAAATACAAATACGAAAACTGAAGAGAAAACTCAAATTACGTGATGTAATGAAACATTTCAGAATACTCAGTATATAGCCTAACATTAAAAAGACGCCGCGAAGAGTCGTCGCCCGTCTATCAACTTATCAATTTTGTATGGCCTTAGCAAACAAATTCTACTTTACATTTCTACATGTAGAAATGCCCACATAGTAAATAAACTGCAGCGAATTTTCAACTATTATACTGACTAATGGGTCTGAATTACGTCTAATTGGACTTTTTATCGGCAATAAAACAGACATCTTAATTAAGAGTAAATTGATAAGCAGGCGTTGGCTCTCACTACCCCATGTGACTCACAGTACGTCTTCCCTTCTTTAAACAGCATAATTACTTTTTTTAGTATTTAATCTGATGTTCACGACTACAAATTTGAAAGCATACTTCCATTACTAGTACATATAATTTTATAGTGGGAACTGGAGATTCTGCCCCCCTGTCTAGCTACAGTATATGATAATGGAGATAGATTTCTGTGCCTTCCCCCATCCCTATATTGCGTATCGCTTCACTTTACTAAACCAGGGAATTATATCGTAGATATTCCCTGATACATGTAGAATTCACTGACTAAACCCACCACTGCTACTACTACTACTATTACTACTACTTCTTCTACAAATACCGGTGCCATTACGTTTTAGATATGTTTTAATAAAGTGAAGATGAGTAGAAAGTTTAAAGACCAAGGTCCTCTATAATACGAGCCTCATGAGGCTTTCAGTGGACATGTAATCACACATTTATCCCGAATCAGAGTGGGCCAAAATTTCGGTTCATTAATTACGGCCAGATTTCGGTCTAAGTTAAATTTCTTTGTGGAAGCGGTCCTGACACTCTCCTAAACACCAAAAAGCACTGCTTTACCCGTAATATGTTAAACAGGTGCGTGGATTGCTTAGTCTTTATAAGCGAATGAAAAGTCACTGCGCTCAAAATGTTACTGTTTTGTTAATTCCTTGACAAAGATGTCACGTTCCGTTCACGTGCACGGGTGTTTTATTAGCTGAAAATAATTTGACTTTGAAAATTACTTAAAGGGCCCAGACAGACCTTCATTGATGCAAATTGGTGCATTCTGTTGCATAATCATCATTTTAAATGGATACCTTGAACATCTGTAAGAAATTTAATTTCCCTAAAAATGTAGGATTTGGACTGAGCACCGGAAAACTTGAGAGATACAAAGAGAGAGAGAAACTTCAGATACAAAGAGAGAGAGAGAAAAAGAAAGAAAGAAACGGGGGCAACTACAGATAGTATATATATATATATTAATATGAATCTATATAACTATTATCATATATATATATATATATATATATATATATAGA